ACAGTATTTACATTTTATGTGACTTTGCATAAAAGCAAGACTTGCATGCCGATGTTGCTATTTTTAAAACTGAAATTTTTAGTAGATTTTTAACAGTTTTGGAAAAAGGACCACCTATAAAAGAAAAAGAATCAGACTCATTCCAAATATTATCTGATAATATAATAGTATAATATATACTGTTATTTCATAAACTCCTGGACTATCTACATATTTCTTAAAAAGTTATAAACACTTTTGTTTTTGAACATTGGTATCAAAATCTAAATATTTGTTAAGCAAGAAATGAAACTACTTGCATGCTTCTTAACATTTTGCAAATGATTTGAAAGATGGTTTTTTATTCACCTAAAAATGTTGGCGTATAATGTTATGCACCAGATCGTCAGTCTGTGCACACGGCCTAATAGGAATAAGGGGCTCTCTTAAATTGTAAACAGAACAAAAGTTCATTCCTTAACAATAGAGGAAGGGGCCAATGGCCCTCCATGAAACAAAAGAAAATAACAATATCCCAATTTGGTTGCATGTCGGTCGGTCCATCAGTTAGCAGTTAAATTAATTATGACCCTCAGGTCAAAATTGCCCCTGCAACGGGAGTCACTTGCTTTAACTAGTCTAAGGTATAGGAAAAGATCTTACCTTTTTCTGGGTAAATTACAATGCCATTATATTTGGCATATATATCATTGCCAAGTAGACCTCTACATGTATTAAAGTTTCATGAAATGCCTCCACCTTGGAGGTGATATAGTAATAGTATCATTATAAAGGATAAATAAGAGAAAACATTTTTCAGACAAGTTTCTCGATGGGCCTTACTCAAACAAATGTACATTAAAGCGTGTTTTGCCCCACGGGTCGCCTTAAATTGCAGTGCACTTGTTTTTATACTGGAGATTTGCACATGCATTAAAATTTTGGTGATTCTGTGAATGCTCTCAAGCAATAAACATCATTCTACCATGTAATTGTTATCAAATATTATATTTGATAAACACACCAGTAATTAAATAAGAATGCATACTATTCAGCAGTTTCTGAAAGTCTTGAATCATATATTGTAATTGAAAATGATTCAAATAGTAATTAAATATAAAGAAGTGAGCTGGAAGTTTTGTCAAATATATACATGTATTCCTTTATATTGATATATTTATCTTTATGTAAATAAACTGGTATAGATTTATAGGATTTTGTATTGATATTTAATGTGCCAACCCAAATTTTTTTTTTTTTTAATTTAGAAACTGCAGAAATAGTCAGGATTAGGTGGGGGGTTGGGGGGTTTGCAGCAAGTTAGCAGTCACCATCAGGCATTCTAATTTAGTAATTATCACAGTGAAATTCTCAATTACATAATTATATTGATTACAACAGCTAGAGTAGATAAGTCTGACGGTTTTACAGTTAGAGGTTGTTCAGTTTAATTGGCTGTATTTAGGGTTTTACAAATTTACTGAATTTACCTTTCAGCCATTCAGAGCTCTGAGGTCTAATGATTGTTGGTTGCACTTACAGATAAACAAAATATTCAAATAATCTGTTGTACAACATAAATATTCCACATGCAGTTTCTACAAATTTCAGTTGTTTACTTGAGAGATGAGACAATTTTCACAGTTCAGGGTTTTATGTGTATTTATTATTTTCTTTATTCAAGAGATCAGTTTATATCCTGTAGAAGACTCTCGTGAGAGTGGAATCATCTGTTTATATTTCACTAAACTGTGTATTATGTTTATTGATATTTAAAGTTCTTTTACTAATATAGTACAAATAATAATAATAAAATGTATTATTGTACCTCGTACATCTTTTAATTTATCACATATTAAACCGCGGCGCAGGAGTGTAATAAATCCATTTAATAAAAAGGATATTACACTTAGTGTAATAACACTTTAACATGACGTCATTTGCGCTATATATAAACATAGCGTTAAAGCGCGCTTGTATAAGTGTTACAATATGGGCGCGTCATTTAAAAATTACTCATTTTAACAGTTTACTGTTCCAATTTTATATATGTGATAAATAGAATATTATATTCGTGTAGATTCAATACTAAATTTATTGAACAAGTTGAATAAAACAATATTATGCTCGCCAGAGGCTCACATAATATGATTTTATTCAACTTGTTCAATAAATTTAGTATTTAACTACACTCATTCAATATCCTCTATATAAAAGATGATCCCATCAACAGATTTATATATTTTATAACCATATTTCTCGAAAAATGAAAAATAAACATTTTTATTTAATTTAACCTTTATGGAAAAAAATAAAATTGTCCAAACTCCCCTCCCCCAAGAAAAAATTGCGAGTTTTGACTCTGCCCACTTTCATATTTATTTTTCATGTTTGTTTGGTAAAATAAGAATTAATATGCACCTTTCATTGTTTAACAACAATTATTATATTATTAACATATATATATATTTTTTTTTTTATTAAAGTAAAGTGTACTTTGTATTTTGTAATAAATTAATTTACAATATTTTTGCAAACTAGACTGCAGATATATTAAGCCAGTACACATTAACTTCGTAGATATTTATTGAAATTTTAATCTGTTTTAACTTACCTTTATTGTATACTATGTACAATTAGATAGCATGTAAAAATAAGTCAAGGTTAAGTTCAAGTGATCTGGTATGTACAGGTTTAATGAAATGTATTGAATACAAGGTCTAGTAGAAATTTGAAAAAAAGTAGGTCACTTCATTTCTTTTATGAAGTAACTTGAAAAATTTAGAACTGTAGCTAATTTCATGGAAGTTTAAGTATTAAATGCATTTTTTGGAGAGAATAAAAATACAACAATAACAAAACAATGACACTTTGTTTTGGATAAATGTTTACAAATATAAAATTATAGGTAATTTTTTAATTTATTTTTGTGTAATTATTATAGACTTTCAGCTTAATGTTTATAATGCTAATAATGGAAAATAATGGACATTTTACTAAGTAGTAATAAGGGGTTATCTTTAAATATTCATTATTCTTTTTTTCTTCTTCTTTTAATTACTACAGTTAGGCCTAATTTGTAGTCATCTTAAAGCAGCATGCCTCCAGATTCATGCTAATTTTCATGCAAATTTAAGAAAATGTATTTAAAAGTAAAATATTATGAAGTGAACAAAGAAAATGAATACAAAATACCTTACTGTGTAAGTAACACAGTAGAAATATGTTGATAAGTACTACAAAATCAATCCTTACTTAATCACACATAATATGTAAATTATTACCAGAATCTTAAATATTTTACTTTTCTTAACCCTTTCCCCCATGAGCATATTGTGAAAAATGGCCGTTTTCACTGAAAAGCCTGCTGTTACAAGTTCAAACTGCTATGAAACTATGAAAAATGCTTCAATACTAATCAAACTTGGCACAAATGTTGACTGGACCATTGCCTTTGTAACGACATGCTCAGTCTTAAATTTCCTGTTACCATGGCAACGAGGGGACATCTCAAAATTGCCAAAAATCACTATTTTGCCTCGATTTTTTCCATCACAATTTATTTCAAAGTGCTGCAACTGCTCAAGGGATTGAGATAGAGTCAAAGGCTTTTCAGCGTTGGTTGAACGTTACATTATGATCGACCTGGAGTCATTTTTAGCCTCTCACAAGTCCAAAATTTTCTTGGCCAAAACCCCCCTAACAGAAGGGGGCACATCCCCCTTCTGGCAACCCCCTGTTGTATCTTTTGGATGGGGGGCGGCGCCGAAAAAGTGCTCATTTTTTTAAGCAACATTTCTCAAACGAAAACTTATGTTTTGGGCCCAAATAGGACATTTTTTCACTATTTGAGGCCTAAAAAGGGGGGGGGGTCGAAAGTGCGTTGTTTCGCGTATATATGTGGTAAAGGGTTAAACTATTAGAACATTTTTTTCAAGTATAATATTCTTGAAATGTTTTTGCTTATCTGGAGGCATGCAGCTTTAAGAATAGTAAGATAAGTAAATTCGAAGGGCTTTTTTTTTCGCAGGTAAGGCCCGTCATTTTAATGAATTTCAGGAATTTTTAAATAAACTTTTTTTTTGCAAATGGGAAAATAAAAATTGGTATAATTGAATTTACGGGGAAAAATGCATGGTTTTGAGGGGAAGCAGATTCTATTGAAAAGAAAAAAGCTCTGATATATGTAAGGGAGCTGCCCATAATATCATACTTGACAAAGACATTGATACAACCTCAGAAATATTGTTTCATGAATTGAAAAGGTTAAAAATACATGACTGCATACATTATAAAAAGGCAAAACCCTTCCCACACCCTCTCATGAGGTGCCTTTATCTTATTAAAGCATTCAGATAATAATTTTATGAGCCAAAGTTTTGTAAATGATAAATGATAATTTCTTGCCATTTGTATATATAACGATTGTTTAAAGTTACCCGTCCCTAGATTTGCCACTTAAATGCCACCCTTTTCAATGGTGGAGTATTTAGACAATTTTCCACCAATAATGCCACCAAAACGCCACCCAAAACATGAAAATGGTGAAAAATTTGAGCAGGACTGATGCTATATAATTTTCCAGTAAATTCCACCTTTTTTACACTTAATGCCACCAATGAGTGGAAAGTTGGTGGAGTATTTAGACAAACTTTCACCATTATGCCACCTTAGGGTGGCAAACTCTTTTTCCACTAGATGCCACTTGTTTCCACTAATTGCCACCATCATGGTGGAAAGATGGTGGAGTATTTAGACGAATTTCCACCATTATGCCACCATTGAGTGGCAAACTCATTTTCCACAAAATGCCACTTATTTCCACCTTTTGCCACCATTAGGGTGGAAAGTTGGTGGAGTATTTAGACACTTTTCCACCATTTTTCCACCACAAAGTGGCAAATTCAGTTTCCACTAAATGCCACCTATTTTCACCCTTTCAGAAATTTTCCACCTTGTGGGTGGCAATAACTGAAAACTGCTTAAAAGTCACCCTGTACCCTAAAAGAGAAACAAACAAATTTTAAAAATAATCCTTTTTAATGTCTCCATATGAAATAATTGTCTCAAAAAATAGCAACACATTAGTCCATTTATTATCTTCAGTTTATCTTTCTATTCCTGGACGGTTTGAGGAGGTGCAGAATCACCCTATGGATTTCAGTCCTTTGGGTTGTCAGCCACTTTTCCAGCGCACAATCTAAAACAAAAAAATATTATGAATAATTAATACAATAATTAAAAACATTAGCTTACTTTTTTACATGACTATTGGATATTTCTATATTCAAGTTGAGTGCATAGATATGATTAAAACACTTTAACAAAACAGCATTGCAGACGTGGAAGAATCAGACTTTTCTTATTTACTTCAAGGCAGAAAATATACGCAGAATCAAAATGATATTTTCATTCAGTTCATTAGTTACCTTTCAAGAACTTAAGTTTTGCCTTGTCTGCACAAGCAGGTCTGGCGTCAGACTCTCAGAGAGTCTCTGTTCCATTTCCTGATACCAAACAATGAGCAGCCTTTAATCTCTTCTATATTGAATAGCATTCTGAAAAGCCTTGTCGTACCTTTCTCATAGGGCATAGTGCCTCAGTTCTGCCATCACTTGGACCTAAAATATAATTATCAATATCCAATAAGTAAAGACAGGAAATGAAACACGGTATAATTATGTTAACAACTCCAAAATTTTAAAATAAGAAAGAAATACAACACGTCAACATCAGTGCAGGTTAAGTAATTTAATAATCTTCCAGTTTCAGTTCTTAACAATTCTTCATCAGGATAAATATTTGACAAAGTTTTCAAACTGAAGTGTACAAAAACTCTAAAATTTGTAAAACGAAATGTAAATGCAAATTAAAGTGTCATAAAGAGTTTGAATAAAAGTAGTTTTGTAAATAGTGCCTAATAGCTATATGTATTAAGAACTGAAGTGTCTTATTGGGTACTGTGACATTTCTTTCCTATCAATTCTAAAATCTTTGAATTAACTGAGAAAAAAAGCAAGATACCTAAATTGTAAAGCCACTGAAGAACAAGCACATTGCTCCAGGCTGCTCCTCATTGCTTTGTGTCTGCAAAAGAAAAAATCTTATTTAATGCTGTTTCTGTTATGAACTGTCATTCCCCTAACAGCTTGTTACTCTAGACTGTCTAGTTATGGTTATATATCTACTGCACCATGAAAGCTGAATTACAACAATGAAGGAATGAAACTTACTAATAAAACAGTTACTGTTGATCTGCTTCACATGTGACACACAAGGAAAAATGTTTATAGCATGAAAGTTGTAGTAATAGGTACCTGGTTATCTATAATTTGATTGATGTAATGTTGTACATAATGATATTGTACTTACTGATTAATTTCTATAATTATTTTCTCAAACTTAACATTTCTAACATACTGTATTTAAGAAATGATGAAGCTCTTCCTACATTCTTTATATTCCTACATTCTTTATATGTACATGCAGCTTTCATTTTTAGTCAAGTGACAAATAAAACAAATTTAAAACATAATTTTATACAATACCACTTCATATTTTTACTGTTAAAAAACTTAACAGTTTCTGCATAGATAATAATAATTATTGTATGTAAAAGTTGTTTACCTGAAACTTTGACTTGGAATGATTCTGCTGTTTATCTTCTTGTCTAATGTAATAATCTACACATTCACACTTCAGTTAAAACTTCTCATTTCTATTTGCCACACTAATAAGACTTTTAATGTATTCTTTGAGAAATCAAAAATATGCACCCTTACATTTTAAACAAAATAATATCTCCAGAATTGCTACAAAACCAATCATTTCCTTTGTGTTTGCAAGCTTTAACTGACCTCAATTCCTTTGAATTCAAACTTTACAACCGTACTACTGGAAAGTTCCATTATAACTTTAAACTGTGAGGGATTATTCATAAACCATCGCACCCATCATTTTATTTTTACATTCATTTGAATGTATAAACTATGTCTAATACCTAAATAGATTGAGTAGAAATAAGTTTTTGAAAGATAATAATTATTTAGCATGCTATTTTAACACAGATTCTACATATAACATGTATAATGTTGCCTCTCCCAAAATAATCAAATGGAACATTCTGGTCAGCATGAGTAAACTATTAACCCCCATGCAGAGATAACTAGATTAGAGGGCAGTAGTTTTATCAGATCTGTGTTGTATGCCTTGTTGTTAAATCTTAGAGGATGTAGTATTTACTAGCTAGTATTTACTTATCCTGATTTTATAAGAAATTATCAGGAACTTATTACCTATTTACTTTTCACAGAATTATTTTTACAATAGATTTAAAGCCTCTGAAAGGCATACTATATTGTGTATGACTAATTTTCATACACAGGCTTGGTAGAGTGAGGTATAATAAGCAAGCACAGTGCTTCATTATCTTGAAGGCTGATCTACTTTTTATGTATATTTATTAAATAGCATTTAAATATTATTGCTAACAAGTTTGATTCATGTTTGTTTCTTCTTAAAAATACATAACTCTCTCCTGCAAATTTATGGAGTTATTGCCCTTTGTAAGTTTTCATCTGCAAAGTATAGTACAAAAAATGTTAGATACAATAATTTTAAACTCCACATATAACTAAATCTCATTGATGAGAAGTACAAGGCCTAGGAACCATAACTCTTTATTGTATGAATTGGGGTTTATTGCCATTTTGTACTTCTCCATGCTTAATTTTTGTCTTGATCATTAAGCTTAAAAAGTATTGGAGATATTAATTTGAAACTTCACAGATATAGATCTTTTTGAGTAATGTGCTGTGTTTAAGAACCATAACTCTTTTGCATACTTTTGGAGTTATTGCCCTTTGCATTTTTCACTTTAATTATTGTAAGCATTACATGAAAAGTGTTAGTACTCACCAGATATCAGTTTAAAGTAATATTAAAGAGACAAATCTCAATAAGAAGAAAAGACCAAAGTCAAACATTATTCAAGCTTGACATTAAAGATCAAAGCAGAAGCAACAAACTTTATGCAGAAAAATTTTCTAAGTGTTTTTCCACTAATTTGCCACCCAGAAAATAGTTAGAGTTTCACTTTTCCACTAAAAGCCACTCATTTTCCACCTTCAAAATAAACTAAGTTTCATTTTTCACCAATTTCCACCCTTTTGCCACCATAAAAAAAGTCTATGTTCAAATTTCCACTCAATGCCACCTAAATGCCACCAAAGGATAGTGGCATTTGGTGGCAATTTTGCCACTACAGTGGAAAAAGAGTGGAATTTTGTCATTTTCCAGTTAATTTCACCTTTTTAGCTCACCTGTCACAAAGTGACAGGGTGAGCTTTTGTGATCGCTTTTCGTCCGGCGTCCGTCCGTCATCCGTCCGTAAACTTTTGCTTTAAATGACATCTCCTCATAAACCACTGAGCCAATTTCATCCAAACTTCACAGGAATGTTCCTTTGGTGGTCACCTTTAAAAATTGTTCAAAGAATTTAATTCCATGCAGAACTCTGGTTGCCATGGCAACCGAAAGAAAAATCTTTAAATATCTTCTTTTAAAGAACCGTAAGAGCTAGAGCTTAGATATTTGGCATGAAACATCTTCTAGTGAGTGTCTACCAAGTTTGTTCAAATAAAAGCCCTGGGGTCAAAATTGGCCCCGCCCCAGGGGGTCATTGATTTTTCCTATATGCATATAGTAAAAACTTAAAAAATCTTCTTTTAAAGAACCCAAAGAGCTAGAGCTTACATATTCGGCATGAAACATCTTCTATTGAGTGTCTACCAAGTTTGTTCAAATAAAAGCCCTAGGGTCAAAATTGGCCCCGCCCCGGGGGTCATTGACTTAATTCCCTATATGCATATAGTAAAAACTTAAAAAATCTTCTTTTAAAGAACCGTAAGAGCTAGAGCTTAGATATTTGGCATGAAACATCTTCTAGTGAATGTCTACCAAGTTTGTTCAAATAAATGCCCTGGGGTCAAAATTGGCCCTGCCCCAGGGGGTCATTGATTTTCCCTATATGCATATAGTAAAAACTTAAAAAATCTTCTTTTAAATAACCCAAAGAGCTAGAGCTAAGATATTAAGCATGAAACATTTTCTAGTGAGTGTCTACCAAGTTTGTTCAAATTAAAGCCCTGTGGTCAAAATTGGCCCCGCCCCTGGGGGTCATTGATTTTCCCTATATGCATATAGTAAAAACTTAAAATTCTTCTTTTAAAGAACCATAAGAGCTAGAGCTTAGATATTTGGCATGAAATGTCTTCTAGTGAATGTCTACCAAGTTTGTTCAAATAAAAGCCCTGGGGTCAAAATTGACCCCGCCCCAGGGGGTCATAGATTTTCCCTAGATGCATATAGTAAAAACTTAAAAAATCTTCTTTTAAAGAACCCAAAGAGCTAGAGCTAAGATATTTAGCATGAAACATCTTCTTATGGGTGTCTACCAAGTCTGTTCAAATAAACAAATAAAAGCCCTTGGGTAAAAATTGGCCCGGGGATGGGGGGGGGCCTATATACAGGTGAGCGACCTCAGGGCCATCATGGCCCTCTTGTTTACACTTAATGCCACCCTTTTCAGGGGAAATAGCTGGCAAGTAGTGGCAAATCTAGGGACGGGTACATTAAATAAATATGTTAAAATATTTTTGCCGTCGGCCTAAAAACCAAGCATTCTACAGTTTCATTAACCTTTTTAACAGTATTGTTGTAAATCTCATCAAATATTGTTCATAAATTAGGATTTTAAATGGAAAACCCCACGGTAACACTAAAGTTCGTATACGAATTTTAACATGCAAATGAAGACTATAGCAGCTCGTGTATGCGCTAAGTCACGGAGTTATAGTTGCTATCCGGAACACAGCAAATATAAGATTTTCTTGTGCAAACACACTTTTACCGTTTAAGCTTCACGGTGCACTAGGCCTGTAGTTCAGAAAAAATAATCATCTCATAAAAAAGATTAAATTTGTATGAAAATATCCGTTACAATGCGGAAATATACCGTTAAATTAGGACTGCTACTTATAGTCATGTTTGTTGATTTAATATTGATGTACGGATGATCTGAAGGCGGAGTTTCTCATGCAAACAGAAATTGTACTTCCGAATTTGCCACAATGAGGTTGCACATTTGTATGCTCATTAAACTCATTTTGGTTGCCTGGACACCAAAATAAGATCTGGAGTCGATATGAAACCCAATTTATTAATGAAATGTCGCTATTTCTTTTTTTATGAAATTTATTTAATGTAACTTTAAAGATCCTGTAACACAAAGTTTTTATGGTTTTGTATCATAAATATGATGCTCAAATTTATATTAATCAACTTTATAAGTTCCAAAAAGCATTATGTATTAAGATATTACGGAATTTAACATTTCATGTAAATAAAGGGAGGTAATAAAAAAATTATTTTCAAAAATGTCTATGTCAAATTTTTCAATAAGAAATGAATGCATATATTTTAATGATTACATAATTATAATGTGTAAAAATAATTGCAGTACATATTTTACATATTCTTTATTTTTTGAAAATTGTTTTATAAGCATAATTATATACATAATTATGTATAATTTCACTTAAGTGTGGTATACAACCTCAATTACAACATACTGGATCTTTAAATAAATCATGATTGGGAATAATTTCATGAATGGGTCTCTATTTTAATTGAAAGATTACAATTGATTCAAAATACGCATTGGGTCAGGCGTAATTTGCATTGCCCTGTCTTTGCGGTGCATCAATTTGTCTGGCCATAAAATTCAAGGGATGTAATGTTTGAGCTTTATCTTGAGATCATGACCATGTATGGTACATGTACAAGTTTTGTACTTTGAATACAAATATTTATTTTAGACCATGGCATGTTTTGAAATTAGTTATTAAAATCTCATTCAGTATTTCCATAATTTGATACTATAATGTGCATGTAATGCATATGAAATCATGCCCAGAAATGACTAGTTTGAGACATATTTTTCCTCACATTATAATATAATTATAATTATGCTGTAATTACTGCTGGTCTTGATGATTTCTTTCCACGCTATAAGAACATCTAATGGATCTTGTTTTGAAGTTGAATTACAAGCAAAATGATTTGTGTTGAGACATCTAGACCAATGTAAGAGTTATTTTGTCTGTATGTACACTCATTTGTGCACAAGAGCTCCAAAAGGTCAAGGTGTACCTTTTAAAAATGTATGACTGTCTTTCCTGTTTTGGTTGTTTTTGGGTGTTTTTGTGTCCCCACTTTAGGGGTGCATTTAGATTGACCCTTGTACATCCATCCTTCCTCTTCTGTCCTCTTTTGTGTCGCACATAGCTTAAAAAGTATTTGACCTAGAGTCATGAAATTTGATAGAAATATTGATCAGCATGTGTAGTTGTGCGTCTGAGTATTTTCGTGTGGATATATTTAGTATTTTTAGAGTAATTGCCCTTGACTTTGTAAAAATTTTACATTTTTCAACTTGTACATGCATGTAACTCAAAAAAGTATTTGACCTTTTGTCCTGAAACTTTACAGGAATGTTGATCAGCATGTTTAGTTGTGCACCTGGGTATTTTTGTGTGGATATATTTAGTATTTTTAGAGTTATTGCCCTTGACTTAGTAAAAATTTGCAATTTTCAACTTGTGTTGCACATATCTCAAAAGTATTGGACCTAGGGTCATAAAACTTTACAGGAATGTTGCTCAGCATGCATAGTTGTGCACCTGGGGTTTCGCTTGTGGGTTTATTTTGTTTTGTTTGAGTTATTGCCCTTGACTTAGTAAATGTTTGCAATTTTCAACTTGTGTCACATGTAACTCAAAAAGTATTTGACCTAGAGTCATGAAACTTTACAGGGATGATAATCAGCATGTGTAGTTGTGCACCTTGGTTTTTTCATGTGGATATTTTTAGTATTTTTAGAGTTATTGCCCTTGACTTAGTAAAAATTTACGATTTTCAGCTTGTGTAGCATGTAACTCAAAAAGTATTTGATTTAGTGTCATGAAACTTTACAGTAATGTTGTTCAGCATGTGAAGTTGTGCACCTGGGGTTTCACTTGTGGATTTATTTTGTTTTGTTAGATTTATTGCCCTTGATCTAGTGAAAACCATTCCATTATGTTGTGTTATTTGTAATTTCTCGAGTGCTTGAGTTAGAATCAACCAACTTTACAGGAATAATGATCAACATCACTGTGAAGCTATGCACCTGGGGTTTTGCATGATTGTGGATTTTTTCAGTTTTGTTAGAGTTATTGCCCTAGACTTAGTATAATTTTCAATTTTCAACTTGTTCATGTATTACTCAAAAAGTATTTGACCTGTAGGTCTGAAAGTTTACAAGAATGTGGTCAGCCATGTTCTTATGCACCTTAGGGTTTGCTTGTGAATTAATTCAGTATTTGAAAGTTCCTGCCCTTGACTTAGTAAAGGATTTTTAGTTTTCAACTTGTCGCATATGTAGCCTAAAAATATTTGACCTAAAGTCATAAGATTGACAAAACAGTGGAGTGCGGGGGCACCTGTGTCCTATTGACACATTTCTAGGTTTTTAATGGAATGTACAGTGGACAGTATTGTTTGAAACCTATCTAGTACGTGCATGGATGGATTTTAGTATTACCAGACACATAAATATCCACCACTTTGTGTCCCACTCCTGAATCAGATATTTAGGTCAAAGGTCATGGCCATGTTAGAGGTCATAGATAATTGCTTGTCTGCATGGAGCAAAACTCCTACATGCATGGTGGGATTTTAACTTGGCACATTTGAGGCATATAAAGTTTTGCACAAAGTTCAGGTCCCTGTGTCCAATGTCATGGCACATGCAGAGGCCCTGAGGCCAGATAAAATATAAAAATGTGATTATTGGCTAAAAACAGTCATCAGATTTGAGAGAATTTAATGTAAATTTATTATATTCACTATAATGATAATAAGAAATTTGTGATAGGCGTTACTAAAGTTTGTGACAATGGCTAGTATCTTGTTTTATATTTATACTCGTCAAATTATTGATTCGTCCTTAATGTCTAGATTCATTATAGACAGGTGAGCAATCTAGGGTCATCATGGTCCTCTTGTCTACATTATCTTTACCATTATTTTCATTAAAAACCTTCATTCTAACGCAAGTCTCTTTTAACATTGTTTCAAGTTTTCCATTGATTATAGATGTCTATGTTGTAACCATTCCATGGTTACCATAGTAATAAAAGTGATGTTCAGGTGACAAAAAGTTGTGTTGTTATTTTGAAGCAGTTTCACAAAAATGATCTTTTTGTGTTAAAAAATTATAACACAAAGTTTGTTAAAAACTGAATTTTTGGCCGGGTTGCACTGGTGCAAACCCGGGTTATAGTATGGTGAATGTTGGGCGGCGGGCGGGCATCCGGGCGGTGGGCTGGCGGGGAAAAAACTTTCGTAACAGTTTTCTCAGCAACTACTTATTACAGCCTTTTGATATTTGGTATACAGCATCAATTTATGGTCCCATACTGTGGGATTCGATTTCAGGTCTGTCGCTCATCTACTTCCTGTTTGCTAACCTACTTAAATTTTCAGCATTAATGGTCAATAGTAGGAAATTTTCGTAACAGTTTTCTCAGCAACTACGTAACACAGCCTTTTGATATTTGGTATACTGTGAGGCTGAGCATCAACACATGGTCCCATACTGTTGGATTCGATTTCAGGTCTGTCGCTCATCCACTTCCTGTTTGCTGACCTAGTTAAATTTTCAACAATTATGGTCAATGGTAGGAAATTTTCGTAACAGTTTTCTCAGCAACTACTTATCACAGCCTCTTGATATTTAGCATACAGCATTGACACATGGTCCCATACTGTGGGATTCGATTTCAAGTCTGCAGCTCATCCACTTCCTGTTCACATTTATGGTCACTGGTAGGAAATTTTCATAACATTTTTCTCAGAAACTACTAATCACAGCCTCTTGATATTTGGCATACAGCATTGACACATGGTCCCATACTGTGGGATTCGATTTTAGGTGTGTAGCTCATCCACTTCCTGTATACCCTACTGAATTAAATTTTCGACATTAATGGGTCAATGGAAATTTTTTTTCGTAACATCACAGCCTCATGATATTTGGTGTACAAATGCAACCCGGCCTTTTCTGTCTTTGACCCATTTTTCTTTAATTTATTTGTAAAAACTTGCTTTAAAGGGACTCCACTTAGGTTTTTTGACATGACGGGACTGAAAATATTTTCCCGCAATTTGTGCACCAATTGATATAGGTCTTTACCAATAACTTGTGTGCAAATTTTTAGCTCATTCCATCACCCTGTTTTTTTTTCCAGAATAATCTTTTCTGTTGTGAAAATAACTGAAATATGAAAAATGTTGCAAAGCTTTTCACTTAAATCCTGCTAAGAATTGCACACTAAATCAATTTTGAATTTAAATATGAGTGTTTTCTATGATTTTTTTTCATTATATTTTAGTGCTTCACTTGATATTTGTAAGGTTTTCAAATTTTGTATTTTTATTCTTTTGGACCTCAGTGGAGTTCCTTTAAAAAGACTTCATCCAAATTCATTTCTCTTTTTGCTCAAACTTAAAAAACATTATATACATGTATGGTATAGAAAACTTAATAATTGCTTTCTATGTACTGATTATCTGATTTGCTTTTTGAACAACTTCTCATAATTGTATAAGCTTACATAATGAACATAAGTGGTTGCAATTGTTTCCTTACATGTTTAAGAATAAGTTAACCTTCAAAACATTGATTAACGTTATTGATCTTTTTTTGTGTAAAAGTAAAGAAATTTAAGAATTATTATTTCTGTTACTTTTCTATCTAGAATCTAAATATTTGCTACTTGAATGTGAATTTTTGTGGGCTGTCTAATAATCTATGACTGCTAAATTATAAACCCTTACCCTTCTTGACTCAGAAGTATTATCAGCCTTTGCAGTCAGTTTAGAGCTGGGGTCAGCCTGCACATAGGTATATAAATAACACATAGGTTTGCGAGAGTATTTACTCCAAGGGATAATATTTTTGCTGTTAACTCACCAGCCTATGTGTTATTAATATTTATTACCCCTCCCCACCAACAAGAAATATTTCAACTGACTTTACAATGTATTAGGACACTTACTTATCAGGTTTCTATAGTTTTTAATTTTACTGTAAAAAAATATAAACTATGGAACAGTCCAAAAATACAAGGGTGTAAAAATACAGTATTATCTTGGATGCTCTGTGATGATGATGATGATGATATAGTATTGGCTAAGTAACATGAAATTTTCCTTTTGTTATCCCCTATAATTGATAATGAACCATTTAAAATGTGGAAGCTTGACAAGTCTATTCAAGAAATTCAGCTGGTTGATTTATCAGTATTTCACACTTTGTATTGATCAAGTCATTAGATATATATATATATTGATATCACCTATTCCTACCCCTATTTTTTAAGAGAAAAAAAATTCTTTGGGCATTGTTACTGTACTGTGTACAGATTTTCTTTAATCAGAATATAGGGACATCATATAATTCTCGTGTTTTATGAGATTATTTGATTTTCCTTGTAGTAAATCTTTCTAAATATCTTCTTGAGCTTAAGCTAGAAACATGTGGTAATATACCAGTAATTAATGCCTTTCTCATGAACTAACTAGCATAAGTCATTTCGCTGCGTACTGTATTATAATCAAGACAGACTTTGTACTACTTCTAGGATGGCTATCTGAAATTGTTGCATTGATTTTGATCTTCAATGTACAGACAAATCAACATAAAGCAAAACATATAAGAATACAAAACTGGAGCAGCTCAGAAAAACAAAATGTTTATTGTGAAACACTGTCACGACTCGTATGACAATTTATACAAGGCCTTGGAAACTTAACTTAGTTAAATAAATGGAATCATTTATTTGCATTGGTATAAATAGGTAAACGTTCTTTTTTTTTAATGAGTACAAATATTTGAGATTTTTTTTTTTTTCTCCGAGAATCTTTTTTTAATGAAATATGATATGACAGGTTTTTACGATATGATATTTCAGGTACACGATGTGATATTCAGGCGAGGTATTGACATGTTTTAACGAGATAATGACCGGCCGCTGATGTTTTATAATGGAGGATGAAGAAGATGATAATGTCTTTGAAGAAAAACCTTGTGTTAGCAGGTAAGAAATTATTAACCTATTTCGAGAATTTTTCTCGAGAATTTTTTTTCTGCATTAAGCACTATTATGATGTTCTTTAGAACTTTTATTAATGATTTATTTATGAAGTAAAACAAGAAAGTAAGAGCTGTGACTGTAACTAAAATACAATGTATTTTTCAAAGAAATATCATGAGTTCATGACTTAAGCCAAGACTTAAGTATTGACATAGTAATTGTATAAGACCTATCTGCATGATTTGAATACATGCATTCATAAGAAAAATGCATAGAAAACATGAACTTTCTTCTCCAGGTTTTCAAGAGTATTTTCATTATTCATGTAAATGAAAAACAAAATGTTGACAAATAGCAGTCAAGAACTTTTTTTTTTTAATTTCTAGAAACTGTTTTTTTTCTAACTGAAGTCTGACATGTTAGAACAATTATTATGCATATACATGTAATTGAAAAACCATGTGAAAACAAATAAATGTTTTTGAAAGAACTCTAGTCAATGCCAAAGTACACACAGTATGATATTAGAATTTTGTTTTAAATATGATGAGCGTGAATAATTTACCCGAAGAACATTAAATATCTGAAATTGACTTGTCTATCGGTTATAATGGACTCAAACAATCACCATGATAAGAGATAAATTCAAAGTGTGTACTGACTGAATAGCGAACAGTGCAGACCATGATCATATGGTACAAATGTGCTTCCCATGGACAGATTCCAGACTAATAACATGTTTGAAAAAATTCAGATCATTTGTTAGCTGCATTTTCCAAAATAAATATTCTGAAAGTGAAAAATGACCCAAAATTGATTCACTCATACATGGCTAAAATTAGCATAAAAATTTTCAATTTATTTCTGAGTACATTTCTTAAGTATTTTTGGCATTATCTGTTTTATTAGTGCCCAAGCTGATCTATGTCAGAAAATCAAATTTTATGTTTTTAGACTTTTAGACCGCAGTCAGGGGTTCCTTTAATATACGGTATTTATATATAATTATATAATGCGAGAGTTAACATAGTTTTAAGACATTTAGGGAAATTTGAATTTAACTACATGTATGTGTTAATTTATGATGTAAAAATGTGATAATAGACCTGTATGATATATTATCACCAAAGTCCATCACCTGTCGTAAGAATATACATGTATCAGTTTGATTGAATGTCATTTGAAAATAAATCAAAGTACAACATTCAGGGACATTTGAATTTAACTATGTCAAAGTATGGTCTTTTATCACACACCCGTGCCACTCTGTGACTCCGTAAAAGTGGTATTGCACGGCCATGCATATATTTTGATGTGACGTCATTGCCCTATACAAACATAGTGTAAAGACGGGCTAGATTTTAGCGTTACACTTTAGGCACGTCAATGAAAAAATGATTCTTTTCCACTTTATTTAACCCTTTACCCCATATATACGCGAAACAACGCACTTTCGACCCCCCCCCCCCCCCTTTTTAGGCCTCAAAGAGTGAAAAATGTCCTATTTGGGCCCCAAACACATGTTTTCGTTTGAGAAATGTTGCTAAAAAAATTGAGCACTTTTTCGGCGCCGCCTCCTATCCAAAAGATACATCAGGGGGTTGCCAGAAGGGGGATGTGCCCCCTTCTGTTAGGGGGGTTTGAAGGGGGGCGGAGTCCCCCTCATCGCCAAGAAAATTTTGGACTTGTGAGAGGCTAAAAATGACCCCAGGTCGATCATAATGTAACGTGTAACCAACGCTGAAAAGCCTTTGACTCTATCTCAATCCCTTGAGAAGTTGCAGCACTTTGAAATAAATTTTGATGGAAAAAATCGAAGCAAAATAGTGATTTTGGGCAATTTTGAGATGCCCCCTCGTTGCCATAGTAACAGGAAATTTAAGACTGAGCATGTCGTTACAAAGGCAATGGTCCAGTCAACATTTGTGCCAAGTTTGATTAGTATTGAAGCATTTTTCATAGTTTCATAGCAGTTTGAACTTGTAACAGGAGGCTTTTCAGTGAAAACGGCCATTTTTCACAATATGCTCATGGGGGAAAGGGTTAAAACTTTATTTAGTCTTTATTTTGTGTATATGATAAATATATATATATATATATATATATATATAAATATATATTGGTGTAGGTTACTGAACTTGCCAGAAGCTAGCATAATATATTTTCATCTTGTTCAATAAATTCAGTATTGAACTTAAACGATTTATGCTCCCCAGAAACAATTTGTAAGAAAGTTATAGTTACATAATTATAGTCATGCTTTTCTTGTGTATAAATTTTGGTTCAGCTTTAAAGGGTCACAAATGTTTGGTAAATACCATGTAAGGCTTGCAATAATTATGCATGGTCCTCACGTATGGTCCTTAACCTTCAAGGAGCATGCATCGCCTTTAGCCATATGTCTTGTCTATGTATAAAAGCGGACAATGAAGCACATGGTCTAAGTGTGCTTAATAGATTATTGACCGTTATAAAAATATAATTGTTTCAGGTTGTCACGTAAGGTTGGAGAGAAGTTACGACGTGACCGTTTAAACAGTTTGATCACCCAGCTAGCCGAGGAGATCCCAATTATCAAATACGCTCATCGTCGGCTCGACAAGTCGGCTATACTTCGTCTCACAGTCAGCTACATGAAACTGCATCTAGGTAATATTTGTTGAATAGATATTGGCAATATGTGAGATTTTCTTAAAAAATTTCTTGATTTAATCGTAAATCCTATCCTGGTATTTTAAATAAGAAAAAAATATGAGCCCTTTACAAATCTGGATAATGCACTATTCATAACATCCTAATTGTAGCAACTGATTCTGCCCATGTGACCACTGCATATCAAAATCAGCAGTCAAAGTGTGCCATATGGCATGATAGCATGGTCTGTGCTGCCCAATAGTTACAGGACTGGCAAACCGGTCCAATTTGTTGGAGTTTACATTTGAAGGTCTGGGCAAGTAAAATTCTGCAATCTCATTGGCTATTATAGTTGACCCATCTTTTTATTTTTAAAATGCTTGAAGTTATACATGTAAAGGTACATGAGGTGTTTCTTCACCAATTAAGCTCGAAAGTTGGTATTATACATTATGACATGTGCCATATCAATGTGACTAACCATTCCAAGAAAAAAAGAAAAATATATAGTATTGGATACTTAATTTTGTACAATTTCGATCTGAAAATCTTTTAGTTCAAAAATGGGGGTTGGTGAGGGGGCGGGGAATTTAGTTGGGTAAACAATAAAGAGTTTGATACACATCTTATGAACTATTATCACTATAATTATAATAACTATGATTACAGAATGCTGTTTATTCTCAGGCTTAAAGAGAAAGACACTTGGACATAATGTGAGTCTCCACCCAAACCGATTGATGCATTGGCTTAAAAAGGTATTTCTGCACTTACGCCATGTACCTTAAATTATAACTTATTCAAGTTATGACTAAAAAATGAAGAAAAATGAAAAAAAAAACAGTCTTATCATGCTATGATATTGAAATTTTTTTGAAAAAAAAAGACTCGTTAACATGTCTTTCAACAAAATTGATTAATCATGATATGATTTCTTGCTGTTCAATCTGGGATTTGAACTTAGTTTTACCTACCCTCCTTATAAAACCGGGGAGTGGCCATAGGACCTTAAAGCAACCTTTAGATTTTTTAAAGGTTAAATTATGTTGTTTTTAGATAAATCGTTCCATAATACATTTGTAATTGTCAAATCAAAAGAATTAAGGTGGAAAATGAAATATGCCTACGATAAAATACATAATCAGTAAGGAAACCCCTCAATACCTCTACTCTACTGGTTGTCTCTCTGTTATTAAATTAGTAAAAGCAGATGATTTGTTTTTTTGCTCTTCTTTTCTTAGGAACAAAAGTCATTGATGTGCTATAACATAGCTCTCAGAGGGCTATTTTGCTGAAGGCTTTAAAGTGATATGATGTTCTTTTCCAAGATAAAAATTACCGAAATACTTAGTTTGAAACAAAACAGAATTGACTTTTTTCAACAGAAAATGAAAGCTGAGGGCCGCTTTAACTGTGATAGTATCCTCACCTTCCATTTTATTTCCATGAATATTAATTTTATAGTATCAAAATACATGTATTTATTTTCAGAATAACAGTTACGTTAGTTTATGTTTTTATTACTCACAGGTGACTGATGATACATTATTGATTATAACAGAGACGGGGGCTATAGTATATGTATCCCCTAAAATCTTCGACATCCTTGGTTTCTATCAGGTAAAACAAAGTATTTATTACCCATTTCATGAAAAAAAATCTTAAAAAAAACCCATAAATTACTTTAATGCTTTAATACTTTATTTCAGTCATAAATATTTAATTATACCCCCACCACAAAATGTGGGGGGGGGCTATAATGGATTCGCTTTGTCACGTCGGTCGGTCCGTCCGTCGGTCGGTCCGTCCGTCTCCATTTTCGTGTCCGCTCTATAACTCCTATACCAATTGAAGGATTTTCTTCAAACTTGGCTCAAATGTTCACCTCAACAAGGGGATGTGCAGAACCCATATTGCCCATGTGTCAGGTCAAGGTCAAGGTCACAATTGAAGGTCAAATATCAAATACTATCAAATATTACACAGTATGTCGTGTCCGCTCTGTAAGTCCTACACTTCTTGAAAGATTTTCTTCAAACTTGGCTCAAATGTTCACCTCAACCAGGGGATGTGCAGAACCCATGTCGCCCATGTGTCAGCTCAAGGTCAAGGTCACAATTGAAGGTCAAATATCAAACAATTAAATATTACACAGTATGTCGTGTCCGCTCTGTAAGTCCTACACTACTTGAAAGATTTTCTTCCAACTTGGCTCAAATGTTCACCTCAACAAGGGGATGTGCAGAACCCATGTTGCCCATGTGCAAGCTCAAGGTCAAGGTCACAATTGAAGGTCAAATAATAAACAATCAAATATTACACAGTATGTTGTGTCCGCTCTGTAAGTCCTACACTAATTGAAAGATTTTCTTCAAACATGGCTCAAATATTCACCTCAACAAGGGGATGTGCAGAATTCATGTTGCCCATGTGTCAGCTCAAGGTCAAGGTCACAATTGAAGGTCAAATATCAAACAATCTAGTATTACACAGTATGTCATGTCCGCTCTGTAAGTCCTACACTAATTGAAAGATTTTCTTCAATCTTGGCTCAAATGTTCATCTCAACCAGGGGATGTGCAGAACTTATGTCACTCTTTTGCTGGCTTAAGGTCAAGGTCACACTTTAAGGTCAAAAATTGACTTAGAAAATATTCTTAAATTTTAACATTTATTTGAATATTTCTAAATCTAGAAAAGGTATTTGCTTGAAACTTAAAATATTTTTGAAGGGTCACAATTTCGATATGCTGTTCGTTCAAGTTTCATAACTCTGTATTGCATTTTACCAAAGTTATGCCCCTTTTTAAGTCTTCAAATTTACATACAATCAAATATTAGACAATATGTTGTGTCCACTCTATAAATCCTATTCTAATGGAAGAATTTACTTCAACTTTTACTCAAATTTTCACCTCAACAAGGTTATGTGCAGAATCCATGTCACCTTTGTGCCGGCTAAAGGTCAAGGTCACACTTGAAAGTCAAAAATTGACTTAGAAAATGTTCTTAAATTTTAACATGTACTTGAATAATTCTGAAACTAGCGCAGGCATTTGCTTGAAACTTAAAAGATATTTGAGATGTGGCAAATATGATATGCAGGTCAAGTTTCATTACTATGTATTGCATTTTGACAAAGTTATGCCCCTTTTTAAGTCTTCAAATTTACATACAACCAATACTAGACAATATATTGTGTCTACTCTATAAATTCTATACTAATGGAAGGATTTTCTTCAAACTTTACTCAAATGTTCAACCAAACTGGGTGATGTGCAAAACCCATCTTACTCTTGTGCCAGATTAAGGCCAAGGCCACACTTAAAGGTCAAAAATTGACTTATAAATAAAATGTTTAATACATTGGGAAAATGAAAGGTTATTTGTACCTGTTTCGAACATGATTTGATAATATATATTTATACTATTACCTGAACAATTAGTCTTTTTTCACCAGAGATAATTTCTTTTTATGTATTTGTGCCACATAAGTTATTCCCTTAACCACCTTTCCAGGTGGTCTTCTGTCAAGGACATTGGTGGGGGTATGAATCGCATTCAGCGATAGTTCTAGTTTTATCTAAAGATACTTTATTTAACCCTTCCACTACTTGAATCAAAAGTGACTAGTATTCACCCATATTTTTGAGAATTCACCCCTATTGGAAGGGGGAAAATTTAACATAGACAAAGAAAGAAAAAGATCAAGAAATGTAATAAATTCTTACTTTTCAATAAAAATCACCCCCCCTGTTTTTTCAAATCCTAGAATAGACACTGCCAGTATTGAGCCAGGCCATCCTGCACAAGCATTTAAGTTAACAAGGCCATAAAAGCTGTTCTGTAATGTTGGCTGACCAATATAAGTGTTTCATCCTTAAATATCCCCAAAACTGACAATAGAAAGTTCCAAAATGGACGCTGGACAAGAAATTCAGCAAGTAGAGGGTGAAAAGCCCGGCCCAGGGACTAATGGATCTGCCATGATCTCTGAAACCATTTACATTTTATAGATTCATATCAGGGCCAAGTGCATTTTTACTGTTGCCTTAAAAAAGCTTTGTATACTATTTTGCCTACAAAGGTTTTTTCATTTATCATATCCAATGGAGAAAAAATAACAGACGCCTATACATGTAGTCCCTAACTAATGTTATTGGCAGTTTAAGACGGTGTTTTTCTTCTTTGGTATAGTGATAAAATCACAAGGCGTGTTGGAACTTATATTCTTGCATATCAGAGAGGATTATATACCAGTGCTTAACCCTGTCTTACACCCCGCCATGTAAGACAAGTTTGCTTTAAATGATGTCATTTGTGCGACCTTTTATGAATGAATTGCGTTCTTAGCATGACGTCATTTTACCGTTACAAATGAAGTAACTGTTGTAAGTTCATACCCTTCTATAAGAAAAATGCACATAAAAGTTTAATAATTTCTGTTTTGAAAATAATTGACATGCGATACGAAAGAAAAAGAATCATACACCGGCTGTCAGTAAAGATGGGAATATCTAGCTTTCAGGTAACTGTTTAGTGGAAACCCTCGAGCTATTTTTTCCTGTCTACACTGGCAGGAAGTGTAAGATTGTCATATATGGTTATTGTAAATATGGCCAAAGCCATTTTAAATGTGGATAGCCAATAAATTTTGAATGTTTTGTTATAACGTACAATCAGTCAGGTGACAGAACTTATTTTGGAAATATTTTCACTTATATAATATATGTAACTTTTCTTTCTCTAAGAACTGTTTATTGTCTATCTTACCCTTCTGAGTTTGCATGAAAACAAAATAGAAATATGTGTAAAAGTTTCACACTGATATCTTCATACAAACATGTGTACCCACAGTATGCAAGGTGCTTGAAATTAGGGATTCAATATTTCAAAGACATATAGGAACTGGGGACAAGGAAAAGGATATTTTCTTCAATGCTTAAAAGACACCATAATTATTTTTTAAAGTTTTTGTCAAATGATTTTTACTTATCTACACTTGAAAAATGCAAAAATAGTTATTTGAATTACTACAATTGTCTAGATCAGTATTATAGACCATTCAAACAAGTTGCCTCAATAACAAGTTTTATACATTGATTAAATAACTGATTATCTGTTCATGTATTTAATCCAGTGTTTACATAATTTATTTTCAATAATTACACGATTGAAGTTTATTTCGAAATATTTCGAATGGCAAGTAAATTTAAGTATTTACATAATGAGTTTGCATTTATAATTATTGATGTGTATAAAATAATTAGATTTTTCATTAAGATCTGGTATAACTAGGGTATCTTAGCTCAATATTTTTTAAAATAGATTAGCTTACCGGTATTTGAAAGTATTGAGATCATTTTTATATTCGATTGCAAAGTTTTTTTTCTATTCAGCTGCACAAAACAGTGTTAATGTATTCTACTTTTCTGGTTCTTGAAGTGTTAGATAGAAAAGACCCACCACTATAAAGAACACTGAGATATATTCAGAATAGATACTTTTTTCCATTGTTTTATGCAACAGTGAAGAATAATCATATGATCATAACTCTGACCCAGATTCTACCTATGCAAACTGTGCAGACCAAGTTTAGTGCTGTTTAGTCCTGGTTTGCACTGTTTGCTTCTGAGACGGTACATTTTTTTGAAAATTTCCCTAAAAATGATAAATGATTATGTCCAAAATAAGAGATGCAAGAGTCCATTTAAGAAACTTAACAGGTTAAGGGTGAAATACTTGAACTCCAAGCAATGATGATGATATATACCTGTGCCACCTGTATAAAACCATGCCAGCTTGTATTTCCACTCACCATACTATTGACAGCTCAATATTAGTATATCTCAAACTTCCAATGGAGGTTTTGGGAATTCCGGACATATTCAAAATAATTCTAGACTCATATTCTGCTGAATTTAGGAAATGGACTCTTCCAACTTCCATTTTTGGGACTGTTCATTGTCAATGTTGGGGAAAGTGAGATGAAAATATAAAGTTAGTCAGCTAACAGTATAGTAGCACAGAAGTCCAGAATGTCCTGGTTGAGAAGGCTTTAGTCACTTTCAGTGCAAGCTTGTAAAGGTTATATATCACTTTTGATTCATATCTGGATTCATATTCTTTTTGAAAATGTCCCCCTAATTAATATCAGATAAAATTTTCTCAAACATAAGAAAAAAACTATCAATTACAAAATTTTTATATATTAAATAACAAATGTGTTTTATGTGTTTTTACAACAGACTGACATGGTGGGGTATAACATCAAGCGTTTCATTCATCCAGATGACATCAACATGTTTATGAGCCAGTTTTTTGCCCCTACAGATGTATCATTACAATCAGCATTCTCTAGAATCCCACAAGATAATATATCTACAAAACTAGATCATAGTAAGTTACAGAAAAAGTTCATAAAATTTGGCAAAGAATTTATCTTCCATTTTCTTGTAACATGAAGTAAATTACAATTTGTAAAATGTGATACATATAAATGCAATACTTGTATGATTAAACATAGAATAGATCAAGACTTTATTTTTGTTTGTTTGGGTTAAATGTTGCACCGACACTGAAAGGTCATAACAATGGGGACTTTTCTCTGGCTGTATTGGTGGAGGAAGTCCTCAGATGTCCCTCTGATGCATTATTTGAGGCACAAACAGGCACCTGAGAAGAACCACCTAATGTGTCGCAAGCTAGCTGGATAGCTTCCTCACATGAAAGAATGCAAAGTCCCTTGCAGGATTTGAACCCACAATTGTGAGGGACAAGTGGTTTGAAGTCAACAACCTTAATCACTCGGCCACATATACCCTGAAAGTCATTATAACTCATGAAATTCCTCTCCTTAGTAATGCAGTTTTAATGTTTGCTCTGAAGTAAGTTTGCTAAATACATACTTGTTTCAGATCAAGTGATAAATTCAGCATCGAATTCCTTCTGTGTACGAATGGTGCGGGCATCAAGACGTAAACAGATTGGGGAAAAAGTCAAAGAATATGAAACTGTATGTGTGAAAGCTCACTGTGATAATAGCATTACATTAGATGATGGTCAAAGTTCAGGTATGTGATTTTATAGCTCAACTGTTTGAAGAATCTTGACGTTGTCTTACTCACTCCTGCATAATTGGAGCATGTGAGCAATACTTGAATAATATTTTATATACCCCCACAATTGTTGGCTGGGTTTCTCACACTTGACAACAATTTTTTTAGTGATTTGTTATTTTGTCTGATACTTAACACTTTCAATGTGATAATTTCTTGTATTACAGACAAATTCACTTTAATATTGGGTAATCTTGAGATTTTTATATTTTATGTAGGCTGACTGATGACTTTATTCAAGAAAATTATGAAAAGATGCATGTAAAATATAAAATGTAGTAGTATATACATACTGGTATATTGGTATATACGTGTATGTTTTAATTTATTTACTATAGTTGATGAAAGATGGATGGTGGCACTGTTAAAGCCCTTCAGCTCTGAGCCAATCAGGGAAGTGGAGGTGAAAATTTCAGAGTTTATGAAAAATAATGAATGGGCAACCATGCATGACTTAGATGGAAGAATCACTGCAAGTGACCAAAGGTATGACTTTTCTGAATTTTCCTTCCAAAATAAAAAGAAAAATAAGCATATATTTCCATTAAGAATTGATTTTAGTAGATCTTCTAAGCATAATTAAATTAGTGAAAATTTCATCAGTTGTTTAAAATCTTGCAGTATAAAATTGATTTTCAAAATGTTACTTGACACAATTTTTAATTTTTATAACCTTCTTGGACATGCCTGGGGACATGTTGCCTTCACTGTTATTCCTTTCCCTCATGAGCATATTGTGAAAAATGGCCGTTGTCACTGAAAAGCCTCCTGTTACAAGTTCAAACTGCTATGAAACCATTAAAAAATGCTTCAATACTAATCAAACTTGGCACAAATGTTGACTGGACCATTTCCTTTGTAACGACATGCTCAGTCTTAAATTTCCTGTTACCATGGCAACGAGGGGACATCTCAAAATTGCCAAAAATCACTATTTTGCCTCG